TCCTGCTGACCATGTTTCCTGTGTATAACTGGGGTCGTAAAGAAAGGTTAATAAAGGGTGGATGAGAGAAGGGGAAAGTAACCTACTCGTATGCGGGTTACTGTAGCCTGCAGATCCAACTAAGACACCGCGCCCTGTGTGGACAGCAGCTTACACTGCCCGAGTAGCCGGGCGGACGTTGTCCTGAGTTGAGTCATTACTCAGAAGTCCGTGCGGTGTTCCTCCCTTATTTGCAGGGGTTATGTTCCAAGACCCCCTTCCGTCCCTCATGGATGTCTGAAACTACAGATAGTTCTGAATCCTGTCTAGATGTACCATTTTTAAAAATCTCATAATCAAGGTAGCTACTAAGTGACTAACACACCTATGTAGCATGGATACATTGGACAAAGGGATGATTCACAAATTTCATTTCATTACTCGTAACGGTGCACAGTTTAAAACTCAGGAATCATCTATTTCTAGAATGTGCCACTTAGCATTATTTGGACCATGGTTAACTGCTGGTAAATGAAGCTGCAGAAAGCAACCCTCAGGTAAAGCTCCTGATGCCCACTTCAGGCAGTGTGGGACCCAGGCACCAGCATTTTTAAACACGCCATAGTATCTTGACCTCTCAGGGATCAGGCCAACTTAAGAGTCCTGGCCGTGGGAAACCGTGGGTTCTGCCCGGATGAGGACCAGCATGACAATTGCATATCCAAGACTTAGCTGGAAAAAAGGTAGGCAGAATTTAACCAGGTGTGACACCAGGCCAGGGCTGGTACCACACTAACATGGCGGGCAGGGGAGTTTGGTGAGCTCACTGCATGAGATGTTAGCTGGCTCACAGAAAGACTGGTAGCAGGAGAAAATAAGAGAAGGGGAGGTTTTAGCTGTGATAACGGCTTTGGTTTCTTCCTTCTTTTCTTCCCCAACATAATGTGGGACTTATTTCTAGGGAAGAAGCATGGCTCACACGGTCGCCCGTGTATCTGGGGAGAGACCTTCAATGACTATAAAAATAAGCACCTGTCTTATTCTCCAGTTGCTTTCCAGCTAATGTTGCTCTCCTTTCTTTTGCCAGTTGCCAGAGGCTCCACCCTCTGAGGAGGAAGAACAGGAAGCCTGGGTGAACGCTTTGCTTGGAAGAATATTTTGGGACTTCTTGGGAGAGAAATACTGGTCTGATCTGGTGTCTAAGAAGATCCAAATGAAACTCAGCAAAATAAAGGTATCATTTTCCATACAGAAGGTTTTTAATTCTCCATACTTCTTAATGAAAGGTCCATACCTTTATGTCCTAAGGGAAAAATAACTTGGTTTAAGCATAGAAAAACACATCAGACCCTGGTCACAGACTGACCTTGATCTTCTGACTATTTCTGAGGACTTTGTGAACATTTCTACTTACTTTTTTCTTGGGGTACTCTCACTACAGAGTGGATACTCTAGATGGTAGTCTAGAATTGGGTTTGGGAATATGCGAGTTCTTGTGACTCACATATCACTCCCAATCTGAACTTCTTTCTTTTTATTTTAAGAGATTTTTGTTATAGGGCATGTGCGCTCATCAGACAGACAGAGAGAGAGAGAGAGGAAGTGAGATGTCAGCCCCCGAGGGTATGGCCACACTGTGGTCCTTTCTCTTTCATTCTCTTGGGATTTGGGACTCGCACACATGTGCACCCAGATAAGGTTTAGGCCGCCAAGTCTGGGACTCAAACTGTGGTTGACCACGTGGGAGTCCAGCACCTCAACCATTATGCCATCCACTGGCCCCTAATTCTGTTATCTTTAAGTTAGAAGTGATCTTAAATGGTGTGTCCAGAACCTACACAGTCACACAGTGGCCTGGTCCGCACAGCATACATTCCAGGGACAATTCTAGTCTTGAGGCCTCTTTCCCAAGCCACACTCCCTCCAAGCTGGAGAGGTAGCACTGCACTCTGCATGTGTCTGCGCTTGACCTTTACATTTTGGCCAGATGGCTCTTTATTTTCGACTCCCTCTTTGCTGAAGATATACTTCTGGTGCAAATCCAGGCCCACTTGGACGTAAGCTGGATAAGGCTTCCTCCTGTCTGCTATTAAGTGACACGTTTGCCAACCAACCTTGTTGAAATTCCATACACCTAAGGTTTTTATTTTATTTCTCTTGTTTTTTTTTTAAGAGAGATTTTTGTTATAGGGCATATGTGCTTGCCAGAGAGACAGAAAGACAGAAAGCGAGAAGTCTCCCCCCAGGGAAGATGGCTATGCCGCAATCCCTTCTCCATTTTCCTCGCAGGATCTTGGGCACGCACACACACGCATCCAGCATGTTTAAGCCACCAGGTCCGGGACTCGAACGGTCAACTACATGGGAGTCCAGCAACATAACCATTATGCCATCTGCTGGTCTCAGACCTAAGGTTTTGACCCTATGAAGACCCAGTCAAGGAAGAGGCACTTTGGTCTCCAAATCTTTGCTGAGAGCTTATATGATCAGTAGCTTAAGTCAGTGGACCTGAATTTTTTTTGGATCATAAACACCTTTGCAAAGAGGAAATCTATGGACCCTTAACCAAGAAAAGTGTACATAGACACAAAACTCCACTCACAATTTCAGAGTTTAAGGATTTCAAGTTAAGAAACTAAGCCAAGGTAAAATTAAATTAGAAGGAAAATGTGGGCATGGAGGAGCTTCGGTTTGTTTCTGTCATTTTCTGGGTAAGAACAGAGCTTTTTCTGGCTCAATCAAGCTCTGGCAAGTGCTGTCTGTCACCTATGGACCAGCGCCATCCCCTGCCCAGCTCCTGATGAAGAGGGGTGGGTATCTCCTAAACTGGAAAATTTGAGACAGAACCTGGGGCAGGGATTGGGGGGCTCTGTTGATAAGTGTCACCTGTCTGAGTTCTTGAGGTAAGTTGGGGGTTGCACCCGCTTCTACTGGCTAGTTCTGTGGGGTGTGTGGGCAGGTGGGAGGCCAGCAGCCAGCACAGAGCCCACTCAGTCTGTTCCACCTTTGGAAACACTGATGGCTTGATTTCTCAGGCCAAGGCACACAGGTGGGCGGTGCTGGCCCTGCTCTGTTCCCAGAGGCTGTCTGGGGCCCTTGAGCCCAAGGGAAGGCTGTGGTTCTTGGCAGCGTGTGATAGAAATTCAGGCATGCTTGGACACCTGAGGGGACACTGCTCCCCTGTTTGATGCATTCTAAACGGACCTGAGAGGGTGGTGGGTCCCACCCTCCTCTCAGGAGCAGGAAGTCCATGGAACCTCAGTCCTGGAGGAGCACAGTGGGTTCCCTCATCCCGGGGAAGTTGAGGGAAAGTCTTCTGCTTTCATTTTCTCCCTTTGCTGGCCATGTAGGCTTTTATAGTTCACAGACTTACACTTCTTTTGTTGTTGTTTTTGCGGTTGGAATTACTAAAAGGTTAGAATGGGGACATGCAGCCTAGGTCTGGCAGTGCCGGAGCTCAGAAGCCGGGGCTGTGCTCTCTCTCCATTGCCCACTGTGCCGTCACCCCACACATGCACCTGAGCTGCTGCCTCGCAAAGCGCCCTGCAAAACGTGGAGACCCTGGCAGCAGGACAGACAAGGCAGACTCTGCGTCTGCCACCACGTCTTCCAAAAGAACCCTTATTACCTACCACCAGACATCCAAGTACCCTGGGAGGAGCTACATGTTACACCTGGTAGTGAGTAGGTATGGTTACCTGCCCCGTCAGGAGCCAAAATGGTGACAGGAATTAAGTGGTGGCCAGAATACCCTGGGCTGCCCCTGTGACCTTGCTCTCCCTCCACCTCCTGTTTTCCCTCGGAGGCCTGAGGTATGGCGAGCTCCTTGCTGGCCTTGTCTTGCAATCTCAGGTCGTCACCATTGCACATGGTAACTCCTCGTCGTGAGAGCCATCTGGTGCATGCAGCCGGTGTCCACTGAGGGATTCACAGCAAGCTGAGGGGCTGGCTGCGACTCAGTGAGGAGGTCCTGGGATCATGTTCTGGGTCCCTCAACACACCAAGTGTGTCCACTCAGCAACGCATGTGTGATCCAGCCTGGCTGACGCTGGGTGTGGATCATGGCATGAGAACCCTGTTGGGGGGGTGCTTTTCTGTCTGTCTGTGTGTCTCCTTTCTCTCTCTCTATCTTTCTCACAGAAGACATAAATTAACTCTTTAAAAAAAAAAAAAGCAAAAAAGCAAGCTGATTTTGTGCCCCAGCAGGAGGTACGCTCTTGGCCTTGACAGGCTGCTTGAATACTGCCTCGGGGCCCTGTGGTCATGGCCTCTGGTGCATGGCG